GGGGGAGGGGGGCACCGGACCGGCGGGGGAAGGCCGATGCAAAAAAAATAAGCCACCGCTCTCGGCCGAAATGGGGCGGGCCATTGGCCGCGGGACGTGCGTCGACGATTTTCCCGGGGCACCAAAGCGGCCGGGGCGCTTGGCCGCCGGCCGGCCTCGGGACCCCGGCCCGACCGCGGCTGCGGGTGCCGGGCCGAGAGTTGGCAGTCGAGTCCAAAGCTCCCCGAAACCCCAGGTGCTCCTCTTCCATGACAGGGGCCGTGCATCGGCGGTGGCGGCGGGAGGGACGGCAACAAAGGCAGAGGTGTGGCCGGTTTTGAAAAGGGCCAGTTTCGGGGGGGGGGGGGGGGGGGGGGGGGGGGGGGGGGGGGGGGGGGGGGGGGGGGGGGGGGGGGGTTTTTGGGGCCGGGGGGGGGCCCTGGGGCGGGGGGGGGGGGGGGGGGGTGGGGGGGGGTCGCGGGTGGGGGTGGAGGGGCGGTGTGGCGGGCGTGTGGTGTTGTTGGTGGTGGGGTGGGTGGTGGCGGGTCGGGGGGAGAGCGGTATTTTTGAGATGTCTTCGGGGGGGGGGGTCCTTGGCAGCGTGATCTCTCAGGAGAGGGTATGGCATTCACCCACAATCACATACCGACGAAAGCAACTGTCTCTCTCCCCACAACAGCACGGGTGGCGGGGCGGGTGCTCGCCGGCACTGGCCACCGCTTCCCCCCCCCTCCCGTATGTACCCCGTGCAACTGCCCCGGGGAGGCCATGCTTCCCGGGGGCGCCACATACCATCGAGTGCCTGCGGGGGGACACCTACGTAGACGGTGCCCCTCGGGATGTCTTCCTGTTGAGGGAAGATCGACGCCACCGGGACAGAGGGCCACCGCCTGGTGCCGGTGTTTGTGGCATTTCGGTTGAGGACGCGCGGCGGCATGGCTCGCCCCCTGCGGGGTGCGGGCAGCATCAGCAGATGCGCCGGAAGAGCGCATAGATTTCCCCGTTCCCGGCTCTGCCAGCCCCTGGAGGCCGGGGGGCCCACCTTGCGGGCTATAAAAGGGTCTACCCCCTGATGACGGCCATCGAGCTGCCAACAGCCGTCATGCCACTGTTGCATGTCCCTTTATTTGTCCATCCTCCTCCGCGCTGGTGCCCACGCGCCTCTCTTTGCTGCCTCCTCACGCCTCCGCCGCCGGGATTGTCGCTCCCTTTCCGCCTCGCGCCCCAGGCCTCGCGCTCGGTCCTGCCCCCCCCCCCCCTCCCCCTCCCACACCAGTCAGCTGGCATCCATCACTCCTCGTACGTTCGTCGGATACGCAGCCCCGCTTCCACAGAGCGAGGCTCCTGCCACGGGAGTGTTGTGCCCGGAAGAGCGTCTCTCCTTCCTGCGAATCAACATAGACCCTCCCTTTCCGGGGCCGTGCTGAAGATAGCCCCCCCTCGACAAGTGCAGGCAAGAAAATCGGCAACCCACTGATCTGACCTTCCTGATGCCGACCGGACCAACACTCCCCAACCTAGACCTCCTGTCTCGACTACCACAAGTCCCCTCGTGCACGATGTGCGTCCATGACAAGAGAGCGAGAGGAGAGCGCGGGATGGGCATGTGGACGGGGCAAAAAAAAAAAAAAA